GATGGTTGGATAAAGAGCAGAAGAAGAAATGTTCCAGGCAGAGGAAACAGCACGTACATGGTCCGAAGCACAACTCCCATCGCAGCTCGCTCGCTCGCTCTCCGCCCCCACTCCTTGCATCCTCTCAGTGGCACCCCATGAGCCTGTCCAGCAAAGCCCACTCTCCTCCCCTGGACCCCCTCTCAAGCCAAGCCCTTCTGCCACATTCCTCTCCTGCTGCTCACTTTTACAGTGCAGGACCGAGCCAGGTGGGCTGTTCTTGTCCCCAGAGCCGGTGCTGTGTCTTTGCCCTGGTGCTGGGGCTCTCCCCAGGACTGCCCTTTGCTCTCATCTCCACCTGTTCGAATCCTTCCCTGGTCCTGGTTCTGGGTAAGATGGAGAAGGCACGCTATGCCCTGTCTATACACCCTGGGCAGTGTGCATGGAGCAGCTCTCTGAGGACACAGAAGTCCATAGTAGCAGGTGGACGGGGAGCAAGAACGGATTTGGAAACACGCCAGCCAAGCAGCGAGATCCTTGAGTTTGCTGTCTCTCATTCCTCTGCCTGGGCTTCAGCCAGCCTGGGATCTGCAAGGGGATCCAGGGTGGCCATGGCTATGATCTGGGCAGTGACAGCTTGACTAGCAGTTTGATTCCAGTCGGTCTTATCAAAAGAATTCATACTGAGTACATGTGCATCAGTGACACAACTGTCCCATCAGCAGTGGCCATCTGTCCCCACAGGGTTTGCTGCCTCACAGGGCGGACCCAATCCAGGGTCTTGCCCTAGCAGGCCAGATGAGCAGGGCTCACCAAACGGGGAACTAGCCACGGTGATTAGGACTGCGATGAGCTCTGTCACTTTCTGCAACAGTGCCATCGATGTCATCAAACTTGCTAAACCACTAGTACACCAGGCCCGGGAATTTAGGAGAGTCTTTCTGAATGGAGGACCCCTTGAGTCCCTGGCTTTCCTCTAGGGGGTGCGGCGAGAGTGCTGTTTCTGGCAAAGGAGTAGATGTCACTTTTTTGTGTACAGCTGAGATATTGGTAGGGCCAGGCCAGCTGGCTCCTTGAATATGCCATTTCCTTTTGAGTAGAGGGCTGTTGGGCTTGCTCCACCTTGTTAGTCATTGAGTCTGAGTCGATCCCCCGCAAATGGAGATGCCTGGTCAAAGAGTCACGAGGCATCCGTGGGTCAGGCACGCAGAGCAATAGCTAGGTAATTAACATCCTCACACAAAAACGTGTACTCGGTGGCTTGTCCAGCAGGTGTCGCTATGACACTAGGAAATGCCTCTGTATAGCCCGGCAGCCATTACATTTTTAACTAAAACGGGCTTCTCTCTCTCTTGCTAGAATGCCGTACTGTTTCTGCTGGACCCCCGGGGATGGTTTAGAAAGGAAAGGATGAAGGGGAGATTGCCGTCTACATGTGCCTCAGGACTTCTGCATATGCAGCCATCCCGGACGGAAGGATCCCCTCAGACAGCTATGGCACAGGCAGTGTCCACCGTGAACACATTAGTTCTCGCCATCTGGTCAGCAGTGGAAGCCACAACTACAATACTGCCAATCAGCCCACTGGGTCCCGCCCGCAAGTCCACTTTGGATTTCCCTCCCTTCTGCAAACTTCACCAAAACCCCATCAGTTGAATTCAGGAGTCTTTTTCTCCCTAAGCATAGGAACCAAGGATGCTAACATGCACGCCAGGCAAGGACTACAGAGATATTGGCCCCTAACACCAGGAGACCCTGTTATCCGCTGGCTGGGAGCTCCAGGAGCGCAAGGGGCGGTGCAGTCTGGCCCGCGGGGACAGTGCCGGAGGCAGGCAGGAAACTTAATGGGAGGGGGCCTTCTCCTTTCCTCCAGGGTCTATACCCGCGTGTGGGCATTTCTGCCCCCCAGTGTCTGGTGCATGGGCCCAGGGCGTCTGTATTCCCCTGCATAGGCCACCGCCGTTCACCCCCAGTCCTTGGTGCTTCGGGACCCCCACCCCACACCCAATGCTGAGAAGTGGTCCCGACAGAGTGCTGGGGCTGTGCGGTCCTGACACACACAGTAGGGATAAAGGCAAGCAAGGGACTCAAGAGATCTCCCCCAAAGCCAAAAAAACCTATACAAAGAGAAAATGTCAAAAATACATTAGATAACTTAAAATGGAATACTTTTTCAAAGTTTAAGTAATGCAAAAGTAGGAAAGGGGAAACAGGAATGAAAAATAGAGGGAACAGTTAGAAAACAAATAATAAAATGGGAGGCCTGTATCCAAACATATCATCAATTATATTAAATGTAAATAAACATACCAGTTAAAAAGTAGAGATTGGCAGAATTGATTTTTAAAAATGATGCAAGTACATGCTGCCTCCAAGAAACTGTCTTTGAACCATCTTAGAATATTATGCTATAGGTAGGGTAAAAAAAAATACACACACACACAAAACTATATCATGGAAACCCTGACAAACCAAAGCAAGAGTGACAGTAACATCAAAGTAAACTTCAGAGCAAAGAAAATTACCACAGTTAAAGAGAGGCATAGCAATCCTGAGTATATAAGCACCTGAGTATAGAGGTTCAAAATATAGGAAGCAAAAAAATTATCAGAGCAGAAAAGGAATAGATATAGCCACAATTATACTTGGAAAGTGAAACATTCCTTTCTAGGTGATATGCAGAAATAGTTGACAGAAAATTAGCAAAGACAGAACGGAACAACACCATCAACTAACTTGAATTGATTTATATTTATAGAACATTCCACACAACAGCAGACTATGCATTCTTTTCAACTGTACATGGAACATTTACTAAGATAGACCACGTCGTGAGTCATAAATTAAATCTTAACAAATTTAAAAGGATTGAAATCATATAAAATATATTTTCTGACTGTAATGGAATTAAACTAAAAATCAGTAACAGAAGGATAACCGAAGAATCTCCAAACACTAGGAAAAAAACACACTTTTAAAAAGAAAATCTCAAAGCAAATTTTAAAATGTATTAAAATGAAAGAAAATTAATATATAACATATCTAAATTTGTGGGATGTGGCTAAAGTAGACGGGGAATTTACTGCATTAAATGCTTATATTACAAAATGAGAAATGTCTCAAAGCAACTATCCAAGCCTCCCCACTAAGAAACTGAGGGTGTTGGGGTGGGGGAAGGACACAAAATAAACCCAAACAATTAGGAGGAGGAAAATAATAAAGAGCAGTTATTAATAAAATTGTAAATAGAAAAACAGAAAATTAATGAACCCAAAAGGTGGCTTTTCAAAAGACCAATACAACTGATGTACCTCTAGTCAGACTAACAGAAAGACAAGACAAATGACCAAATCAGAGTGCAGAGGGGTATAACTGCAGAGCATACGGGCATTAAAACAATAGTAACACCCACTTGCAAATAAAATGGACCAAATCTTCAAAAGCCACAAACTTTCAAAATTCACTCAATGTAAAATAAATAATTCAGTCCTGCAACAATTTTAAAAACTGAATGTGTAGTTTAAAACTGTACTTTAACAATCTCCAAGCCCTAATGCTTTTGTTGACAAATTCCTTTCTTTTAATGTAACAGCGTTATTGGAATATAATTCACACCACACAATTCAACAGTTTTTTATGTATTCATAGTTGCGCAAACATCACCATAGCTCCGTTTTAGAACATTTTTATCACCCTAGAAAGAAACCCTGTATCCATTAGTAGTCACTCCCCATTTTCTCCCAGCTCTTCAGCCCTAGGCCGTTAATCTCCCATCTCTAAGGATTTGCCTGCTCTGGACATTTTGTATGAATGGAATAATATAATATGTGGTCTTGGTGACTGCTTTATTTCTCTTACCATATTTTCAAGGTTCATCCATGTTGTACAATTGCTTCATTTCTTCTGATGGTCAAATGGTATTACATTGCATGGATATACCACCTTTAAGTGATCCATTCATCAGTTTATAGATATTTGAGCTATCTCTACTTTTTGCAGCATAATATAGCTACACAAACATTTGTGTGCAAGTTTTCATGTGGACTTAATGTTTTCATTTCTCTTGGGTATACTCTCCGGAGTGGAATTGCTGGGCGAGATAGGAATGGAAATGATAACTCTATGTGATCTTTTTGAGGAACTGTCAGATTTTTCCAAAGCAGTTCTGCTATTTACATTCCCACTACCAGTGTATGAGAGTTTTTTAAAGATGTATACAATTGTTATTATCTGAGTTTTTTTAATGATTTTAGTTATTTAATTTTAGAGAGAGTGGAAGGGAGAGAGAGAGAGAGGGAGAGAAATATCCATGTGTGGTTGCCTCTTGTGCATCCCCCACCAGGGACCAGGCCTGCAACCCAGGCGTGTGCCCTGACGGGGAATTGAAACGGCGACGCTTTGGTTCTCAGGCCGGTGCTCAATGCACTGAGCCATACCAGCCAGGGCTGTTACTACCTGTTTTTTAAGAAATTCTAGCCATCCTATTGAGTATGATGTAATATCTCATCATGGTTTTTGTTTTTGTTTTTGTTTTTGTTTTTAAGAGAGAGGGGAAGGGAGAAAGAAAGAGAGGGACAGAAACACCAATGTGAGAGAGAAACATCCATCAGTTGCCTTCTGTGTGTGCCCTACAAGGGACCAAACCCACAACTCAGGCATATGCCCCGACCAGGAATCGAACTGATGACCTTTTGCTTTTAGAGACAACGCCCAAACAACTGAGACACACCAGCTGGCTGGGGTCCATCATGGTTTTAATTTGCATTTCTCTGATTACTAATGATGTTGAGGCCTCTTTTCATCTGCTTATTAGCCATTCATATATCTTCTTTGCAGAAAATCTATTCAGATCCTTTGCTTATTTTCAAATTAAGACTGCCTTTTTTATTATTGATTTGTAAGTGTTCTTGATATATTCTAGACACAAGTCCCTTATCAGATATATGATTTGGAAATATTTTCTCCTATTCTGTAATTGTCTTTTCTCTTTCCTGGTGGTGTCCTTTAAAACACAAAAGTGTGTGCTCACTTCAGCAGCACTTATACTAATTGGAATGATACAGAGAAGATTAGCGTCGCCCTGTGCGAGGACGACACACAAATTCATAAAGGGTTCCATGTTTTCTGAATAAGCCAGGTGGTGAAAGACAAATACCATATGATCTCACCTATAAGTGGAACCTAATCAACAAAATGAACAAGCAAGCAAACTATAACCAGAGACACTGAAATAAAGAACAAAGTGACAGTAATTAGAGGGGAGGGGGAAGGGGGGTAACGAGGGAAGGGGAAGGGCCATCAAGGAGCATGTATAAAGGACCCATGGACAAAGCCAAAGGTGGAAGGTTTGAGGGTGGGAGGTGGGGGGGGGTGGGGCAGGAGAAAGTGGTGGCAGGAAGATGGAGACAACTGTACTTAGCAATTAAAAAAAACAAAACAAAACCAAAGATAACCGAAACATCCTGCTCTACAACCATCCCATTACCCGGTAAAAAACAAAAGCCCTAACCCCTTGGGGCTGGAGTATCTCTGTCCCTAGCTCTCTCTTGGAAAAGTAAAAATAAAAAAACTTTGCTCTCTGCAAAAAAAAAAAAAAAAAAGCAGAAAAGCGTTTAATTTCAATGACGTCCATTTTATCTTTTTTTTGTTCTTGTTGCTTGTGCTTTTGGTATTATATCTAAAAATGCTAATCCAAGGTTATAAATGTTTATGCCTATATTTTTTAATATGAGTTTTATAGTTTTGGCTCTAACAGTTAGGTTTAGGATCCATTAGAGAGTTAATTTTTATGAATGTTTTGAAGACAGGATCTTTAATATATGAATATCCATTTGTCTCAGTACCATTTGTTGAAAAGGTTATTCTTTCCCTACTGAATTGTCTTGACATGCTTATTGAAAATCAGTTGACTTAAAATGTAATAGTTTATTTCCAGACCCTCAATTCCATTTTATGGATCTATATGTCTATCCTTATGCCAGTATCACATTTTCTTGACACTGTAGCTTTGTAGTGAATGTGAAAAGGGCATGTGCAAATCCTCCAGCTTTGTTCTTCTTTTTCAAGATTGTTTTGGCTATTCTGAGTTCCTTGCATTTCCATATGAATATTAATAATAGAAATATTGTCTAGAATTGTACCCCTGAAATGTATATAATTTTATTAATCAGCGTCACCCCCAATAAATTCAATTTTTAAAAAAAGAATATAAATATTGTCCATTTCAGTCCTGTTAGGTGTGAGCAGAGCGAGGCAAAGAGTGTGGTGAGTTTCCTGAGCGCTTTACTGCAAAGATGGTCAACGGGCCTAGAACCCGAAGGACTTTCTGTAAGAAGTGTGGAAAGCATCAATCAGCCTCACAAAGTGACCCAGTGTAAGAAGGGCACGGATTGCCTGTCTGCCCAGGGAAAAAGGCACCATGACAGGAAGCAGAGTGGCTACCATGGGCCGACTGAGCTGATTTCCTGGAAGAAAGCTAAAGCCGCAAAGAAGGTGGTGCTGAGGTTTGAATGTGTTGAGCCCAATTGCAGAGCTAAGAGAATGCTGGCCATTAAGAGATGCAAGCACTTTGAACTGGGAGGAGATAAGAAAAGAAAGGGCCAAGTGATCCAGTTCAAAGCGTTGGGATTCTTTTGTTCTTTTGTTTTCCAAAGGAAAATGTTGAAGCAGTAGAAAAATTACCTGTATGAAAATAAATGCAGTGATATTCTGACTCATAAAAAGTTTTTTGTCAATTTCAGCCCAAAAGACACTTGGGCTTTTATAGAGATTGTGCCAAATTTGTTGATTAATTAGGGAGTGTTGCCATCTTAAAATATTGTCTTCCAATCTATGAACATGGACTGCCTTTATTTATTTAGATCTTCTTTAATTTCTTTCAACAATGTTTTATAGTTTTCAGTGTTTAAGACTGTGCTTCTTTAGGTAAATTTATTCCTTTTTTATTATTCTGATGCTATTATAGGTAGAATTATTTTCTTAACTTTACTCTTGAATTATTTACTGCAAGTGTATAAAACTACTTTTTTTGTTATACTGTATGTACAATTTATATGTTTTTGCCTACAAATGTTGTATTCTGCAACTTTGCTGATCATATTATTAGTTTTAATAGGTTTTTAGTGCATCTTGAGGATGTTTTCTATTCGAGATCATATCATCTTCATGAGTCTCAGTGTTCTTTTTTGTGAATTTGACTCCAAGGCAAGGGAAACAAAACCAAAATTTAATAAGTGGGACTTCATTGAACTAGAAAGCTTCTGCATAGCAAAGGAAACCATCAAGGAAACAAAAAGGCAAACAACGAAATAGGAGAAGGTATTTGGAAATAATGCAACTGATAAGGGGTTAATATCCAAGATATGAAAGAACTTAAAAACAACAATAACAATAACAACAAAACAACTGGATTAAAAAATAGGCAGAGGATCTGGAATAAACTTTTTTCCATGGGAGACATATGTATGGCCAACAAGCACATGAAAAGATGTTCAACATCACTAATTATTAGAAAAATGCAAGTCAAAACCACAACGAGCTATCACCTCATACCTGTTAGAATGGCTGTCATAAAAAAGACAAAAAATTAGTGTTGAAGCAAATGTGGAGAAAAGGGAACCATCTTGCACTGCTGGTGGGAATACAAGCTGGTACAGCTACTATGGAAAACAGTATGAAGCTTCCTCATAAAATTAAGAATAGACCTATCATGTGATCTAGGAATCCCACTTCTGGATATTTATGCAAAGAAGGTGAAAACACTAATTCAAATAGATGTGTGTACTCCTACATTCATTGCAGCATTATTTACCATAGCCAAGATATGGAGACAACCCAAGTGTCCATTTTCGGAGGCTTGGATGTACATGTCACAGATTTAGCCAATCACCCATTAATACACACACACACACACACACACACACACACACACACACACACACACTACTGCTCTGCCATAAAAAAGAGGAAATATTGCTATTAGCCACAACATAGATGGATCTTGAGAGTATCGTGCTAAGTGAAACAAGTCAGAGCAAAAGGACAAAAAGCATGTGATTTCTTTCACATATGGAATATAAAACAAAAAGGTAACAAATGAACAAAATAAAATAAAAACAAACTTGTGGATATAGACAACAGAATGGTGGTTACCAAGAAGGAAAAGAGGTAGGAGAAGGCAAAAGGGGGTAAAGAAGGTCAAACACATAGTATTGAATGGAAACTAGACTTTTGGCGGTGAGGCCACAATGGAGTATACAGATACCAAATTATAATGTTGTACACCTGAAACTTATATAATGTTATTAACCAATGTTATCGCAATAAAAAGTAATTTTTAAAAAGTGTAAGTCACCTCTAAACAGATGGTTTGAGGGACGATCCATTAGATTGTGCGTACACCTGGTGCATGGGGAGCTCCCCCGCGTAAGAGCCTGTCTCGCTCACCCTTGTGAGGTGCTCCTCTCTCCGGCTCCCAGAGGTGGGCCCTGTCCTCTGCCGAGTCAGTCAGTCATCCCGGGCTTGCCCCCGAGGCTGTGCTCCCAGCGGGGGAGCTGCATGGATGCTGCCCTGCCCGAACCAGCCCACTCGAAGCCCTGAGCACCTCTTTCAGCCCCATCACTGGCCCTGGCTCCAGCCTCATCTCCCAGGCGGAAAGCAACCCCAGACCCAAAATGTGCCCACGCCCATGATGACCCCAAAATAAAGAAAGAAGAAGGGAAGCGGAGGTTGTCACAATGCTGGATTTCTTCTGCGGAGGGTGGGGCCTCCACTCGTGGGCCCTGAGAGGCGGGTGTTCGGTGAGGAGGGGCTGCGGACTGATAGGGGAGAGAAATCCGTCTTAGCAGAGTCCTTCAAACCAAACTCTGAATGGCTCCAAATAAACAGAAGTAAAAAGAGCTACTTAAATGCTAACTTTATATTTAAAATTTTAATATATAAAACTTCAAATAGAAATTCTGCACTGATCCATGTTATGTACCTATATATTAGTTTCCAAAAACTCAGCATATTTATTGCTTGTTCACATGAGCTAGGCCCTGTCCCACTGCTGGGACCATGGTCTGACCCTCAGGGGCCCCCAGTTCAGCGATGGAGATGAGGTGAGCTGTGCTGGGGGGGCCTGCCTGCTCCCTGACAGAGTTCACCTTGAGCCAGTTGGCCCTTAGATTGTTCTGTGGGTTTGGGGGGCTTTCAAGTGCGCAGTCTCCTCTTAGTTGAGTGCATAGGCCCAAGGGTACCTGTGGGCCTTTGGACACACCCCGAGTCCCCTGACTGCTCCCAGAGCGGGCCCAGGCCTTGGTGGGGATGGAGAGGCTGGGGCCTCTGAGAAGTGGATGCCTCGCCCAGCACCAGGCCAGGCCTGCTGCCACGCGCTGCCCCAGCTGGCTGCCTGCTACCCAGTTCTCTCCACACACAGGTTTGGGACTGGTGTCAGTCTGCCTCCAACAGAGCCCTCAGGCCAACAGCCACCCACTGCTCCACACCGCCTTCCCCGGCCTCTCTGCCAAGTCAGGGCAATAGTACAGGGTCCGGCACAAATAACGCCCCTTTTTATGGCAAACTCTTTTATTACAAAATCATAAGCGTGTAATTCTGTAACATAACAATATTACACTCAAGCACACCGTATGACATTTTAGGTGAAGTGTTCAAAATAAAACTATAAATTATCACTCCCATATTATTACCCAAGCAACCGCACTCAAGCAGGCGTTACTTCTGCTAGACCCTGTACTTCCTCCTCAAGGTCATTGTGAGGTTTCACAGGCACCTGGCATGGCAGAGGGGCTCTGGGAGGGTTGGTAGCCTCCGCGGCTCTTCCTGCAGGAGGAGGGAGGTTTCAGTGGTGAGCACTGGCAGGTGCCGTCCTCCGAGCCAGGCACTGCCTTCGCCTCCTTTTGAGGAGTGCCTCGTTCCTTCCTGGGTCAGGAAACCACCCTGGGCCCTGGTCTGTGAGCAAGGTACGTTTTGGCTCCTCTGGGACACTGTAACCAGATGGGCCAGGGAGGACAACTCTGGGCAGAGGACAACTGCCCCTCAGCCCAAAGCCCTGCCCAGGGGGCTGCTCGGCCAGCCCCCGAGGGCACAGAGGCACCTGTTCCAGCCCTGCCCCCGAGGAGCCCC